ATTTTCTCACAATTAGGTTGTGGAATCCCTTGGGTTATTGAGTTCTGCAAATGTGACCCCCACACTCGAGCACATAGACACTGGAGTTCTTGCACTTAAAAAGCAATGGGGGCTTTATCTAAATGGCTGTCTCAGTGCTGGAGAACAGTAAAACTCAATAAGTAGATGATAATACATTACTATGAAGGGCAAGATTAACTTTATGAAGTGATGGAGGAATGAGTTTACTCTAAGGTTGGCAATGAGATTAAGAGGATAAGACCACTGGTAAATTATTCTTTTCCATCAGGTAAGGCAAATGATAATAGGTCCTGGGGAATAAAGGATGAAAATAAAATACCTTTTTCCTTATAAAAGGACTAGATAAAATAACATTAAAAATAAAATATAATGTAATCCAAGTGCAAGACTGAGAAAATGGAGCATTTGGTGGAAAATCAAAGGAGGGTCTTATACTATGACTTGGGAAACTGAATTCTCTGAGCCTTACCCAAAAGAAGTGGTAAGCAAGGTATAGGCGTGCAGATGAGCAATGAGAAACAGTTTAAAAAGTAAGGAACAGGATTGTGACTCACTACAGCGAGATCAGAAACCCGAGACAGAGGGTAAGAGATGATGCTACATAGCAGGCTTTATGACATATACAAAGGTGCAGAGACTTTACCCAGAAAATGATGGGAAGTTACTAAAAGTCTTTTTTTTTGGGGGGGGGGAATACTGGGGACAGAACTCAGGGGCCCTCAACCACAAGTATTGTGAAGCTGCAGCACTGTCAAATTATGACATAGTGATAAATTAGAGACAGAGGATACAATGACTGTTATTTATGTGAGCCAGCAATTTAGTACTGAGAAAGATCCTTTTTATTAGTCCTTATCACTTATTGCTTAATAGTGATTATTATCCAGTTCACCACTCATTCTACTCCTAGAGTGTTCTTTTAAAAAATCAATTCTAGGTTTGACATTTGCCATTTAATGGTCCTTTAGTGCCCCAGAATGATGTCCAGAAGTCTCTGTCAACCATATTCAAAAACTAGAATGATCTTTCCTGGGTTAATCCTTTATGTCTTCCTCTAGCAATGCCATTTTCCACCCACATGGGATTACTTGCTACTTCTACTAACCATGAACAGCCTTGTAATTAGCTCTTATCTCTTCCATAAGTTTTATTCCCCCCACTAGAAACTGTACTCACTCCTCAATTCAATTTGGTTAGTGAAGTTTTCCAATCTTAAAAAAATTTCCTCTCCTTATAAGTTTTTCTCCAACTACCTCCTTCTTCATTATTTCAATGAATCTACTTCCATAAAATTACCATCAATCTCTTTGTGGTTAAATCCAATGAATTTGACTTAGTGTTTATTTATCTCGACTTCTCAGCAATGCTTGGTACAATTAACTAACCCATTTCTTAAATACTTCAAATGTTTTTTCTTTTTCTTTGCTCTCTCTCTTTCTCTCCATCCACCAAAAATCTGTATTCCTCAGGTTATTATTTCCACTGACAAGAAACTCTAGAAGTAGTGCTCTGAAAACTAGTTTTTTTTCTCTCTTCACCTTCCTCTCTCTTTTTGCAAAGAATGATTATTGGCCACCATCTTGGATTCCTGGGGTCTCAAAGTGTCTTTACAAGCCAACTTCAGGCTCCACAGAGGAAATACTGCCTTCCATGAAAATATTAACAATCTTTTGAAAGCATCTCTAAAGAGACATATCTAAAAGTATTGGGCCCAGCAGAGATCAGGTGTGAAAATGTGCCAACTGCAAATCATTCCATCTCTCACCAATTTCTTAGTTGCTAAGAAAGAAGAAAGCCTGTTAGGCCTGATTCTTCTGGCATGACTTTTAAGTCCCTAAACTAGTTAAAGTCTTATTAACCAATTAACACAGTTGGGTGCCACTTAACAGCCTACCCTCCTGCTCAGGACCTACATCCCCTATTTGACCTTAGAACAACTACCATCCTCCACCAAATGCTTGATTCCAACCATTCAGGCATGGGGGCACTGATAAGAGAGAAGAGTTTCCCTTTCTGAAAGCAAGACGCCCAAGTCAATTTGTTCCAATTGTATCTGCACAAGGCCTATTATATGGACTGTGATTTCGAGGGATGAAAGCTGTGAACTCCCAGGTCACTTGTAAACCGATCACTCCCCAGCCTCTCCTCCTCCTGCTTTTAAGTGGTTTGAGGCTGGTAAATTGAAACCTGAAGAAACACAGAGCTCTGATCCCTGGGACCTCCAGAGCAAACCTGGACTTTGGCTGATTTGCTCTAGGAAGTAACTGCTTACTTACCCCATAATTAACACCACAAGCTAATCTTTGGAAGATAAAGTACAGAAGGTCAGACATAAGATCATCTACAGAAGAATTTCACTGAAACACTACTTTTACTAGCTCCCATGGCTACTTCATCCATGAAACAATGGGTGTAATTTCTCAAAATATTGCCGCTCGTAGACACGCAAAAAAGCTGAATGGCACATCACTGAATACGACCTCAGTAAACTCCCCTTTGATTAATGAAGCCATAGCACATGTCAACTTGATATTGTGTGGAGATGTAAAACATGCAACCCGCTCCAGTGGCAAGGTAACATAAACAATTTTAACTGCATCTTACTATTCTGCATGGAAATTGAGCTTTCTTGCCCTGGTTAGAAGTCTTTACTGGTTTCTCATCCTCTAACAAATTAGGTCCAAACCCTTTTTGAGCCTGCAGACCTCCGAGACCTGGCTTCCCAGCTCTTTGGTTGCTGCCTGCTCCTTCTCACCGCTATCCCTGCCGCCTTACTTTTATTGTCCCAATGAATGCAACTGAGTTTTATTCCTCTATACTTATGCACAGATTGTTTCTTTATTTAGAATATCTCCACTGCCTTGTACATGAGGCAAATTACTCCTCTTCATTAAGATTCAGCTTAAGAATCACTTCCCTCAAAGCCTTCTCTGGTTGCACCTGTACCCACTCTTCTCTGTGAGGATACGGCAGCTTGGATATGTGACATTCCTGTAGTGGAAAATATTCAACTGTTCTGTGCACCCATGCAGACCAAATAATAGGAACTAAACAAAATACAACAGAACATTTTTGTTTGTTAGTTTTTACTCTCTTTGCCTCCCAAATAATCTGCAGTCAAGATCTGTGTCACCTATGTTGACCTGTATCAAGGAGTCAATGCAATCAATTGGGAAGCAGGCAACTTGTACAACAGAGTAAAGACCACTAGGGTTAAATCTGGCGACAATGAAATCATTCTTATTCTCACCTCCCTTCCAGGTATCCAGAATCCAGAGACCAGCATTTCAGCTGTGGCTCTGACATGGAGAATGGGAAGTTCCTCACTAACTTCCTAACATTATCTCATTAAGAGACTATAGAGGGAGCTAGAATTTTTCTAAGCATACTGTTCTGTGCCAAGATTTTATGATTCTATAAAATATTCAGGTAGATTGTATAATAATAATTTATGTTTATAAAGTCTATACTCTGTAAGTATAGACAATTGACCTCATTAACTTAATTATTATAACTTCAGTGATCATATATCGAAGTTTATTGCACTAAGTTAGCAAGAACAAGGAAAAAAAAATCAGCTTCCTGACGCAGGAATTATACCTTTATCTCAATTTGTCTCATAGTGTATTCTACAGAGGGGAGTTCAGGAATGAGGGTGTTCAAACCACATCCACCAAGACTACTAAGATTTCACTTGTGGTGTGCATCTGTGTGCATCCACACTCAGGTCAACAGTGTCACCCTCACACAAAAAGGTTTTTCCCGTTTATTCAGTGCTTCTATGTTTACACATCATCAAAATTTGACTTAACTTTAAATACAAAATTTTTTTTATACTATAATATATAATATTAAAATAGAAACTAAATTAAATATCCCAAAATAAGAACAAATCCTTCTCTAAGAAAAAATTGATGACATATTACTGTCATTAAAATTATTAAAATAAGGTTATATACATAGAAATATGAGTATTAGATTAGAAAACAATAAAATTCTGTTTAGAGAATAGTCACATGAATGTTCAAACAAAAAAATATGTGGAAACATATACTAAAATAAAATATGTTGTATAATTGTAATGAGTTCATGGGTGATTTAAAGCCTTCTGCCTAATTTTCAATATTTTCCAAATTTTGTATAATGGACACATTATTTTGGTGACTAGGAAAAATGTAAAAGTGTTATAAAGGATTTTAAAAGATACTTTTGCAATTAAGCAATTAAGTACTTTAAACAATATAAAATATTCTAAATGTATTAAATATAAATGTTTTCTATTTATTTAAACAGGAAAAAATCATCAGGAAACCAAAATGCAATTTAATTGAATGAATAAACTAACCTGATAAAGTTCAAACGGGCTAGAGAGAAGGGTTTTGGTAAAAAGTACTTCCAAAACATTGTGTTTAAAGGTATTTAGGCAATCAAATGTGCATGCAAGGCATGTAGTGATGAGAATTTAAACTAGTCATTTCCTTTCTGGGCTTCAATTTTTAACAACAAAATCAGGGCATTGTGTGAGTTTTCATCTAGCTTTAAAATGCAGGTCTTCAAAGCTAGCTTTCTAAGGGCTGTCATACAGCAGATGGGGGTCGGTGTTTAGGAATATACCCAAGAAAGAAATTTAGCTTTCAAGCAAGAAAAAAAAAATATCCAGAAGTAACAGGATCCAAATAAGGAGAAAAATACAGAGTTGGGGAGGAGGAAGGAGAGAGGAAGAAGGCAAAGCAGTTAGTTAGAGAGAATGTTTTATGGTATGAAAGCATCAGTAGAATATCTCTCAGGGAAGTTCCAGGGTTGAATGCTGAAAATGTCTAAGATTCAAGTTCATGTGGATAAATTGCCAGGAGGTCCATACACACTCCTATTCTGTACAGCTCTGAAAATGGCATCTTACCTTTTACCACTGCATCAGACCCTGAAGCCACATCATCAATCATAAATGGAAAGAAAATAGAGATCTCAAATGACTATTATGCAGAGGATGAGTAAACAGGTCATTCAGTACAAGTAAGAGATAATATTTGAGTGATGCTTAAATTTTATCTTCAAATTCATACCTCCCCTTGGACAATCCATTTGAACTTCAAACTCGGTACCACCAAACTCAACCCATCTTTACATCTTGTGCCTGCTTCTTCTCCCAGAAATTCTCAGGTGACTGGTTTCTCTTCATGCCAAATCTGTAAAACCAGGTGTCCAGGCATCATCTCAGATGCTCCTTCCAACTCATTCATGATTGTTCAATGGACTGCTTAACCCCCAGACATCTCTGGACTCAATTTCTTACTCTTCCTACTCAAGTCTGGTTTTCACCAACAGGTTTCTAACCGGCATTCCCTCTAACATTATGTCCCTGCAACCTACCTGCCACACCCCTGTTAGGAATCTTCTTCAAAATGGAACTCTGACAACATTATCTCTTAAGACTTTAAATGATTTCCCTTAAATTTATTTTTTTAAGTATGCCACATTCATTACAATGACTTAGTCATCTTTTCGGAGAAATTGTTCCTGACTCCCCCGGGGATATTGTTTCTTCTCAGTGCCCCTGTAATTTTGATATATGTCTCCATTTATCTTTCTGCGCTGAACACACTTTGTTGTGATGATTTGTATGCATAGCTGTCCTCTTTCAGAAATCTGAGATCTTTGTGACATGGAACCAAGTTATGGAAGTCTTTTTATTTCTTAAATTTGTTCACCTTGCAAGTAATCAGTAAATGCTTGCTAAATGCATTAAATGAATAAATCATTTGAGAACATATAGACTCAAAGTTGGCAAGTAAAGATAAATAAACAATGATATTTGTTGTTTAATCAATATTTATACTCAAATAAATAAATAAAACATTGTCTACATCATATGTACATCATATGTACATATGTACCTGGGTCACTTGTGAATCTATTTCTTGGATCAAGTTTGGTGTTTCATGTTATACAAGGAAAGTTCAATCCCTTAAATTATCTGATGGCACCCAGCAAAACCTACACAGGAAATAAGTTGGCTTTTGGGTCACTGGAAATGCAAAGCCACTCCAAAGAAACCAAGGTGATATTAAAATAATTGGAAACGATGGGTAAACTGTGCAATCTTGATCTGGATTTCTTTATTTGAGAATTGAAGGAGAGCAAAATAAATATAGAGAAACAACTTGTTCTCTTCCTCACTAGTCTCTTTTCTCTATGGCTTGCACTGTTATCTTTATGGGAGAATATTACATATAAATCTTTTCTCTGTCAAAAGCTCTAGAATATCCTTTCCAGTCTCATGTAAGCCTCTAATTGGCTCTACTATAGAAAAGTCAAGCTTAGCATTACTAGATAGCACCCATCATTTCCTCTCCCAAGTCACTTCCTTTTGTATTCCATATCTCTGTGGTTGGCACTGATCACTCAGTCACTCAGAGTAAGCACACTGGCCTTCTGTTGTAACTTCTCTGTCTCCTGCACTTTATTCTCAACAGATAATCATTTGATTGTAGAATCTTTTATTGATACCAAAATGTGTATTTTAGTGGTCTCCTCAGTTTCCCCTGCATTGCTATTATGCTGTAATTCACTCTTTGAGATTTTAGTTACCCATGGGCAATCGTGGTCTGAAAATATTAAGTGCAATCCATGTGTTTTAAACAAGGCATTGTTCTGAGTAGCTTGATGAAATCTCATGAGATACAGCTCCATCCGGCCCAGAATGTGAATCATTCCTCTTTCTGGCATACCAACTCTGCCTATATTACCTGCCTATTAATCACTTAGTAACCATGCCTGTTATCTGATTGCCTATTTCAGTATTACAGTTCTTGTGTAAAAGTAACATTTATTTAGCTTAATAATAGCTCCAAAACACAAGAATAGTGAAGAGAACAATTTAATTATAGCATTTTGTAATAGTTTTCTACCAAACTGTTATTGTTAATCACTTGCTCTGACTAAATTATAAATCAAACTTTATCATGGGCATGTATGTATAGGAGAAAACAGCACATATATAGGGTTCAGTTTCATTCACAATTTCAAACATCCACTGTGGATCTTGAAAAGGGACCCCATACAGATAAGGGAGCATTACTGTACTCCAGTAGATATTTCAGTTACCTACTGCACTAGTGAATGAGATACCTCATTAGCTTTGATGGTCTCTGCATATCCAGTATAAATTATACATAACAGGTATGGCTACTTTCACCAAAAAGACAGAGAAGAATAAACAAAAAATAAAACACATGAACAATGAAGATAAGTGAGCCAATAAGCATGAACAAAGATGTTATGAATTAAGAAATATTGCAGATAAATTAGGAAATAATGCAGAGTCCAGATCGAGAAGGGCCTTGGTTCCAAGAATAAGAAATGTGGATTCAGGGAGCATTTTAAAGAAGTGAAGTAGTAAAGAGATGAAATGCATATCAAAGCACACAGAAATAACTTCCCCCATTTGGCTTAACTTTAAAAGTTAGGTCTTTAAGGATTTCTGGAATATAGTAGAGTTAAGTGGACCTGACCCTCCATAAAACAGCAATACCTTAACTGGTGAAAATTGTAAAGTAAATAAATAAATATAAACATATATATTCTTTAGAAATTGTCCTAACCCCATTCAGGAAATAGACATCATACTTGAGAAAATCTACTATATTTCAATAAGAATATTCAGTGTGTGACATTAATCCATGATCCACATCACTACTTCACTCCCAATAGCTTGGTGTTATATACCTACCATCTTCCAGTCTGGAATTGATTTTGCTCCAGGAGGGGCAGGGTGCTGGGATTTCCATATTCTGTATTGTAGTAACTGCACCCCAGACCAAGAGTACTGGGACCCCAATATCTCTTGCTCAGTCTGCTGATAGAGTAGATTCTAGAGGCTAGACCACAAGATCATGTTTTTTTTTTTTTTGATACTTTCTATTCATCTCCCCCCAAACCTAACTTGTAGATGTGAGTTGCTCCAGGAAAAAAAAAAAGACTCCCTACCCCTGATTTTGGTAAAGTGACTGCCCTTTGACAATATATGGAGCTATTTTTCCTGATAATCTGTTACCTGTCTGGGTAGAACTACCTCTGTACTGAAGATCCACTCAGAAATACTATAATAAAAATATTTGGAAACAAAACAAGAAAAAAATCCTGAAAGCAGCAAGAGAAAATGGCTTATTGCAATAAGATTACTAGTGGACTTCTCAGAAACAATAGTTAAAAATTAAAATGTCAACTGAGAATCTTATACCCAGCAAAATTATCTTCAAAAAGTGAAGGCAAACTAAAGATGTTCCCTCAGAAGCAGAGGGAGAGATAGAAAGAGAGACTATGATGCTTCTAACAGAACTTTCATGCATGAAATCATAAAGGAGATTCTTTAGGCTGAAGACAAGTCTGTGCACAAAAAATTTACATCCACATAGGAGAAAATACAGAGTACTCATAGGGACAATCTTGCAGAAAATTATAAAACACAGCATAATTGCAATTTCTTCTCCTTTCTTCTCTTGACTGATGTAAAAAGAAATTACACAAAGCAATTTGTATATAATTGAATTGGGAGGCCATAATGTATAGAAATGCAACTTACTTAACAATAAAAGTTGTACTGCAGTAAGGAAATGACCCCAGGTGATAATTCAAACCCACTTAAAGCAATAAAGAGAACCAGAAAGAGAAAATAATGCTGTAAATATAATAAACTCTATAAACACTTGCTTTTTCTTCTCTCAGCTTACTTAAAAGATATGATATTGTACAAAGCAATAGCTATAACAATGTATTATTGGATTTGTAAAATACACTTATATGAGACACACAACAGTAACGATTTTAAAAAGCACAGATGGAATGGTGCTATCAAGGAATTTAAGATTCTACATGTCACTAGGCCCAAGAGTGTAAATACAAAATAGTAGTCTGCATCCCCATGGTGACAGAGGCACTGTGGGAAGAGTACATCATTCTCTTCACAGGGCTAAATGCTTCTTATCAATAGGTCGTGATTTAGTGAATACCTCTCAGATGCTGGGGAACAGAATATTTTGATAACACAGAGCAGAGAAAGTTTTACTCCAATGACAACTAAATGATGTAACAATCACTTTGAGATTATTATGCCAGTCCTTTCATGACACTCTAGGAGAAAATTAACTTATTTTCCTCTAGGAGAAAGGTTCTGCTGTTTCCTTGTTTTAGAACAGAGTTCCCAATAGATGGAACATGTCAGACTTTTCTGCGTTGACTTCCATCAGTGAGAGTCTCCTTTCCACTCTAGTTCTCCATCCTGAGGACCAAGTGTAAAGTATTCAGGTTCAGGCAAGACTAGACACTTAAAATAAGAACTTGAGTAAGTGACAGAAAAGCACCTTATAAATCAACAGTGCCTTTACAATTCTCAAATTATCCGTGCGTCTTGTCAGGGTGTGTTCAAGCAGTGGGAGGCAGGGGCAGTGAAGATGGGCTTTTCCCCCTCTTCCCAGTGTGGCTCTATTCCCATCCAGGCTATCCTAAACCTGTCAAGTTAAAAGAAGTGAAGTTAGAAATGTAAACATCATTCTAACATCAAGGCAGCGCAGGCAAAAGCACAATGAGCATCTTAGCCTGCTGAGCTTTGGAGGTGGTGAGCAGCATTCCAATTGGAGTCTCCTGGGTCTTCCAGCTGACTAAGTGTGAAGCCGTTGATGAACGGAGTGCACATAACTAGGCTCTGAACCTCAAGAGGTCAACAAAATGTCCTCTCAACAACCCCACAGGGACACCATTTAGAAAGGATCAGGGCTCTTTCAAAAATGGGGGAAAAAAAACAGAAAAATGATTCTATACAAAATAGATCATAAAATGTGCAAAACCTTTCCCTTTTTCTGTCAATATTTGGTTATTTAGACAGGATCCAATAGTTAAGGATTCTATGTATATATGTATGTATGCATTTCACATATGACTGTGTGCTCTATATAGTATTTTAAAATATGTGCATTTAGAAAAGATTACTATTAAGAAGAGAGCACATAGAAAAGGGAAGTTGAAGCATGTAAGAAAAAGTACCTCAGGTGAGCATGTTTTTGAAAATGTGTATTTTCAACTATTTTATGTGTCTACGTATTTATTTAATATGCTTATGCACACGTGTCCTAGGCACTGATGAACAAAATAAACAAACAAAAAAAGATCAACGCCCTCATGAAGCTTATATTCTACTACAAAAACAGTAACAACAAGAAGTAGGCTGTGGTAAGTGTTATGCTGAGAAATAAAATATGACTTGGATTAAAGACTATTGGCATCAGCCTAGCCTTGCCTAGCCAAGGAAGGACTCTGAAGAGGTGGCATTTGAAGGGTCTGAAGATGTGGGACAAGAAAGCTTTCATGATGGGGCAACACAGACAGTGCAGGAGGCGTCATTCCAGGCTGCGAGAACAGCCACTTTCCACTGCAAGTATCTGGAGACAGGAAATGTCTTCGTGTATCACAGGATCAAGAAGAAGGCCAGTGTGGCAGGAACAGAGGGAATAGAGAGGAGAGTGGCAGGAGATGAGGTCAGCCAAGTTAAGTGGCTTGGATTTTAGTTGCATTTTAATGCATTATTGCTGACATCGTAGTCTGTGAATCAAGATTTCCGTGGGTTGTAATCAATGCCTGTCATTAACTTCACTATATGACTCCGGAAAACTTATATCCTTTCTCTTGGCCTCAGAGCAACCTCCACTGTTGAACAAGGAAAGAGACTGAACTAGAGAAGAGATGATCTATGAATTCCCTTGGAGTGCTAACATTCTATGATTCTAAACTTTGCCCTCAAAGATGAAGCTGAACACTCCCCTTTCTTGAAAGTCCCAAGGCCTCTCTGTGAACTAGAGAACTGTTGCTCAGAACTTGCTGCTCACTCGCCCGGATTACAGAAGAGCCAGGACTCAAGACAGGCCAAGGAACCAAAGGCTGCATTTCCCCTGTGTTGCTGATATTTCTTCTAGGACAAATTTGCTGTGACATTTCAAATTTTGCTCCTGTCTTCATTACTGTTCTAGTTTCTTCTAAGTGCTTGGCTAAAGTTCCCTCTCTATTCTACTTCCATCTCAGAACTGAAAACAAAACGGATAGAAAGAAAATGGAAGTTATTAATTTCTTCCCAATTATCCCAAGCACACTGGTTTTCCGGACTTGTTTTGAAAATAATAAATCCCACTTTTCCCTGTAGGAGAATAACTACATATTTGATCAAATATCAAATAACTTTGATCACCTTATAGAGATTCCCGGTTAGAAATCTAATCAATCAGAGTAGTGGTTTCCATAGCCTGAAATTCACTGTGACCAAAGATTAGCTGGCTCTCACCATAAATAATTTAGAAAGATTACTAAACAAACACTTCAATAGACTCATAAGGTTGCTAAATAAACAAGCAATACATGCACAAGATAAACCTTTTAATAGGACAACTCAGAGATTTGGACTTTTAAAGGATATTTACCTTGGAACTGCGATAAAACCTAATTCTGAGTTTAAAGAGACAAACAGCACATAGAATGTAGGCTGTCTTCTGTAAAATAAGCCTGCCTCTGATTTGTGGTATTTTGAGTTTCAGGGCCACACTGATAACCTCTCTTTTCAAAGCTATACATACTTTAATAGGGATACAAAAGGAAAAAAAAAAACAAAGCTAACCACAGAAAAACCTACTTTTTAAAAATATAGATATTTGTGGACTTGTTGTATTATGTAATTTTTACTGTACTTTAGGAGCCAAAATACATCAGTTGGAAAACAACTCTAATTTAGTATGGAAAATAGTACCTGACATTTAGAAATTTTTTATAATGAAACAATATATCCTATAAAGTGATTTTCAGCTAAACTAAACAAACACTCTAGAAAAAATGTTGCTTATTTTTAAGTTGCTAAAAATATGAGTCATTTGAAAGGCATTTTATTAAATACAAGCAAAAGCATACTTGGTGGCTGGGTTTTGACATGGCTTCTTCAATAATTAGCAATGTCAGCTTGGAAACGTTCCTCAGCTTCTTTGAGTATCACCTGCAACTGCCAAATAAGGAAGTTGGATTGAATGTTCTCAAATTGTAATTCAATGCTGAAATGCTGAAAATGTGTTTTCAACACTACATATTACATATGCATGCATCACATTGCTATATGTTTAATCACTTCATCAACAATTTAGTGAAAAACTGAAACAACATTTTGTTAAGCAGAAAAGGGCACAATTTATCTTGGTAGAATAATGGCTGCAGTTCTACAACTGTCATAATGCTCTGGTTCTCCCTCTTAGTAGTCATAAAGAAACTGTGAGGGATCATATAAACTCTCCGAACCACAATTGCCTTGTTTGCAAATTAAGCATATTATTAATTTCTTTTCATAGCTGTTGTGAATGCTTTAGAACTCAGGTACTGGAGTCAGAGAGTCATATCTTTATAATCTGGCTCAACCAGTTAGGGGTTCTGTGGTTTGGAGGCAATTTGTTTAACTTCTAAGTGCCTCAGTTTTTTCGTCTGTAAAATGGAGGTAATAATAAGACCTAACTGAAAGAGTTGTAAAGATAAGGGAGAAAAATTCACCCACAGCAATTAGGATAGTGCTTAGCATTTGGTAAATATTTGGGTGAACTTACATTATTAGGACTAGAAATAGCAGCAGCAGCAGCTGTGCCATGTGAAAATCCAGGCACTAGGCAGAAAGAAATTTATCAAGCTTTGAGGTCAAAGAAAATAGAGTCTTGTGGGCTGGAATTATTAAGGAGAACTTGAGAAGGGAGCCAAGGTGAGGGATGGACCCCAGTGAAGAGAAAGGTCGAAAGACAGACATAACAATCTTAGAGGACAGAAAAGTCAAAAAGGTAGAAAAGATGTATGCATAGTATGTATGTTTAATATGTCAGAATACACCCCACTGTCATGTAAGTCTAAGAACAACAACAAAAAAGGAAAATGCTCCTCCAAAGTACTGTGAACCAAAGGAGACTGAGAGGGTCTCAGAAGCAAGAAGGTTCCTCTGATCTTCCTCTACAATTTGTGTGAGATGTGGCCATAATAAAATCCTTGACCCGCCTTGCATAAAAGTAGGTTATAAGACCCTCATTCCAGAGGGTCTTACTATTGGACTCGGTAAGTTATTGTGCTGACTGACACAGGAGAATGGAATATGTATTCCAAGTTGCAGCAGAAAATGCAATCAGGACTCAGGAATTGTTCAGCATCAGATCTCTTGAAAAGTTGAAGGGAAGGTTAGGCTAAAGAGAGAAAACTATTGAAAGATTGCTTAAGAAACTGT